GGTCAGGAGATACTCATGCGGAAATGCTGTTCTAATGTTCTTTCAGCCTCATTCTTGGGCTTCTCCATTTGTTGTTTTGTGTGACCCTATTTCCTTTGAAGGTTTAATTTTGTATTTGTCAACTGTTCCAGTTTCAATGGAATCTTGTATTCATTATGACAAGAAATTGTTCTCTCAAATCTAACCAGGGCTTTGACTTTATTGGGTTTTTTGAAATATGGCCACATTGACTAGATCTTGATAAACCATTTTCTTCCTATTTATATTAAAATTCCGGGGAGTATATGTTTTGAGGACAGAAACAGCAAACAATTTGCTTAAAAGTAAAAGTATTCGAGAATGTTCAAATTTAGACTCCTATCTTAGCAGTAAGTGGGGAGCAATACCCTCTATTGGGCCCCAGGCAAACAGGAGTTCCTTTTTTCTCCAAACTAAGCCAGTGAACCTCTCAGAAGTGAAGGTTCTGACACTGGTTTCCCGCCCTCCCGGTGCAGTTTGCTCTGAGCAGAACTCTGCCCTCCTCTCACCACTCCAGGCTGGTCAGCACCAAAAGCTGCTTGAGATAAAGTGGGCGCTGGGCCCGACAGGCTGGTCAGGACACACTAGGCTTGCCACATGTGTGACTTGTGCTACTTATGTGGCCTCTGGATTTGTGAGGCTAAGTGGCTAATTTTGCAGGATGTAGCGCGTGAGGAGGAGCCCAGGTGTCGTCATGCACCACCCTGCGCTGGTGGACTAGTTCAGGGCTGCACGTTGAGGTCACCAGGCACTCTGCAGGAGGCAGCTGAGGTGCTCTCCTCAAATACACAAGGGCACTTGAACCCTGTCCTCTCGTGCTTGCTGTGGATCGACTCTTTGGTCTTGGGTTTGAACTTAGTCCTGGTTCTCTAGGGTCTTGTCATGTCCTCTTCAGAGGATACACGATGGGGTTGGGGTCTTTAACTCCGAGGATGAGGGCGGGCGTAAGGAATGGCACTCGGGTGGACAAGGTCCATTTGGCCCCACCAAGGCTTCTGCTTCAGGACCTGCAGGTTGGCTTTATTATGGTGGAGTGCGTGGGTTTGTTAACAAAACCTTCGAGACCCATTACTTAGGATTTTACCAGAGTTCACCCCCTTTCTGAGTGTTTTGCCTCCTGTTCTACGAGGATCTGCCCTTTGAGCAGCCCCAGTTGCCTGGAAGCCTCCATGGAAGAAAAGCATGAGGGGCTCACACAAGACTTGGACTACGTGGGGGATAACTAGGACACCTGAAAATAAGGTCTTCATAAGAAGTTAAAGTATTCTGAGTTGGGAATGTGACAAGACCTCCATTGAAAACCAGAGAGATGTGAGAAAAGCTGTTGGTAATGAAGACATTGTCCAAGATAGCCCCAGACTATTCTTGGAGCTCAGCTGGTTAGGAGCCCAGTGCATAGTCACTGCACCAGCAAGGCACCTGTTGGGTCTAGAGGGGTGGCACCGCAGCAGGCCCTCTGGCAGCAGTCAGACACTCCCAGTGACTGCACCCTCGTACATCTCTGCCCACTTCCCTTGTTAGGCAAACATTTTTTGGTTAGCGTCCAGGTTCAAGTGGAGTGTGGGAATGGGAAGAAGCCTAGGGTGGCAGCAGGTTTCTAACAATTCCTTTGGGGCCCCCTCCCACCAACCTGGTGACAGGGTTTATCCCCACTAGCAGGCACATGGAATTCCACCAGCCCCGCCTGTTCCTCAACACGGTTGCCAGTTGCAAGGGCCAGTGCCCACCTCTGCCATTCTCAGTCCCTGGGAAGAGTAGGACAAGGCCAGGGATCTTGGCTCACCGGGCCATCCTTCCACTCATCATTCAGCCACCATCTGCCAGGCAGCGAAACAAAGGACTGTTTGTAAGCAGGACTGAGGACCTGCATGTTGAAAGTCGGCAGAAAGTTTAACGGAGTAGGAAGAGCCTCAGGCAGAGCTGGAAAAGTGCACTTTACGGGAGGAAAAAGAACCGGAGAGCGGACAAGATAGACTGCTAAAGA